ATGTATTTTGGCGTCAGTGTTGAATCCTTCCCTCTTGCTGATTTGTAAACATTTCTGTCGAGAAGCTTAACCATTATTAGATCTCCAACATTGAATTCAATAAAACGGTGCTTTAGATCTGCAGCCTTTTTATACCATTTTTTAGCTTTCTCAAGATAACTCCGAGCAATTTCAATATTTTGTTTCAACTCTTGAGAAAATTTCTTTGTTTGAGGGGACTTGGTACTTCGTTCGGCATCCACTGTATGAGGGAGTAGCGGTTGCTGGCCAGTAACAATCTCAAAAGGACTTTTATTGGTGGAGTAGCTCTTTTGGGTATTGAAGCAAATCTGAGCCGCATCCAAAAGTTTTACCCAGTTTTTCTACGAAGTAGAGATAAAGTGCCGAAAATATTTTCTAGCATAGAATTGAAGCACTCCGTCTGTCCGTCAAATTGTGGGTGAAAACTATAACTCATGCTCAAAGTTGAACCAAGAAGTTTGAACAACTCAGTCCAAAATATGCTAGTGAAATGAGGATCTCGATCACTGACGATGTCCTTAGGTAGTCCCCAGTATTTGACAATATGTTTGAAGAAGAGTTGAGCTGTCTCTTCGATGGATACATCCTTAGGCGCTGCAATAAAAGTTGTATATTTTGATAGACGGTCTACCACGATGATGATAGTGCCAAAATCCTCAACTTTTGGCAACCCAATAATGTAGTCCATCGATACACTTTCAAATGGTTGGGTTAGGACGGAAAAGGGCTCCAGCAAACCCGCCTTTTTTTGATGATCTGCCTTATCTTGCTGACAAATAAGACAAGTTTTTACATAAGTTGCAATGTCGTCCCGCATTTGAAGCTAGTAATATGCACGTTGCAGTAGTGCACAAGTGCGTTCCTCTTCGAGACGCCCTGCCCAAATCGTGTCATGGCATTTTGTAATTAGTGATTTTTCTCAAATCTCCGCCATTAGGAACATATAGGCGGTCTCCCTTTGTCTTCACTAGTTTCCCATCGAGCTAAAACTGTTTAGTTTTACCGTGCTTGATGAGGTTGACCAAATATTGAGTAGCCGGGTCCTTCTCTATAAGTGCCCGAATTTGGTCTCTAGTGTTCGTGAAGACGACGCTCCCTGAAAGTGCAGCTACGGAGCAAATGGCAACCAAATCAGCCCATTGACTAAGAGCATCAGCAACATGATTACTAGCTCCAGGATGATACTCTAACATAAAATTGAACTATGAAAGAAATTCCTACCAACGAGCCTGTTTGCTCGATAGTTTTAGTTGGGACATGAAGTGACTAACTGCAGTGTTATCTGTTTTCCCAATAAATGGAGACCCAAGCAAATAGTGATGCCATCATCTAAGTCAATGGACTACTGCCAACAATTCATTTTCATGTGCCGAGTAACGACGTTTTGTTTGGTTTAACTTCCGACTCTCATATGCTACCAGATGTCCTTCTTGAGGACTCCACTAAGTGCAAAATCTGAAACATCTGTATGTACTTCAAATGGTTTAACCATATCCCGTAAGGTTAAAATCGGGTTTGTCCACATGGACTTCTTCAACCTTTCAACAGTAGTTTAGCATTGGAATGACCAATCCCAATCCTTATCCTTCTTTGTCAATTCGGTAAGTGGCTGTGCAATTTCTAAGCAGCCTTTCACAAATCTTTGATAGTAATTGCATAACCCAAAAAATGAACGTACATCATGTACGATTTTTGGTGGTTGCCAATCTTTGATGGCTGTAACCTTCTTCGAATCCATGCGAATTTTACCTTGTTCAATGATGTGACCCAAGAAACTGATAGATGTCTGAGCAAATGAGCATTTAGACAGCTTGACATAGAGTTCATTCTCCGGTAGTAATTAAAGACTTGCCTCACATGTTGGACATGTTCCTCTAATGTCTCGCTGTAGATTACTATGTCGTCCAAGTATAACATAACAAAATCATCTAAGAACCCGTGAAGTACCTGATTCATCATAGTACAAAATGTTGCTGGAGCGTTTGTCAGACCAAAAGGTATCACTTTAAATTCAAATGCTCCATATCTGGTTACCACCGTAGTCTTTGCTTTGTCTCCCTCCTTGATCCGAACTTGCCAGTATCCGGATCTAAGATCAATTTTTGTGTAATACTTCGCCCGACTCAGTCGATCGAAGCAATCCGCAACCAGTGGGATAGGATAGCTATTCTTTACAGTAATCTTGTTCAAGGCTCAATAGTCACAGCACATTCTAAGAGAACCATCGGCCTTTTTCTGAAACAATACAGAAGCTCCATATGGTGACTTCGCAGGCACAATGATTCCACTCTCCAACATTTCTCCCAATTGCTTCCTAAACTCTTCAAGCTCAGACTGAGACATACGGTATGGTGCCCTGGTGGGAGGTTTGGCACCTGGAATTAGCTCAATCTCATGATCAATTGTCCTTCTTGGTGGTAATTTCTTTGGTAATTCGTCCGGCACGATGTCCTCAAATTCCTGAATAAGTCTTTTAACAGGTTTTGGAATAGGACCATTCGCCTCTTCGATCTCCTCTAATCGAAGAGTGCACAAAAAAAAGGTTCATTTCTCTTAAAACCCTTACTAAATTGCATGGCTGAGATACAACCTGTGTAGGGATGACACATGGCTTATTACCCATTGTCATTAACAAATCGGAATATGGCAACACTGCTGTCTTAGTATCCCGAAGAAATTCCAATCCCAAAATAAGTTTGAAACCATCCATTTGAACTGCAGATAAAATTTGTCCTTCCCTAAAAAGGACCTGGTTTGATCAATACCGATTTCACCACTCCAGCTATTGGTTGAGCAGCGGAGTTGATTGCTTTGACTTTTCCACTACCCTTTTCCAGAACAAGTCTGAGCCGCTCTACTTCGGTATATACAAGGTAGTTGTGGATAGCACCAGTATCCACCATAGACTTGATTGGCTTCCCGTTGATTTTTACATCAATGTACATTAAGCCTTTGGCCCTACAAATTCGAGCCTTCGCTTCTTCTATCTTTGCCTCTTTCAATGGGACATCATCCTTTTCAGCAACCCGATGCGCCAATGTGTTGCACTGATGTGAAAATGCCCCAACTACGTACTCATCCTCTTCGGAGTTGGTCTCACTATAACCATTAGCCTGCGGGGCCTCTTGCTTTGAACTTGACCCGCCACTTACTAGCTGACAATATGTATTTACCATCCGCTTTTGAGGACACTTCAACACCCGATGAGGTCCTTCGCATAAAAAGCACTTCAATTTGGGAGTGGTATCAGTTCGGCCCTCCGTTGCTTTTCCTTTGTTCCAGTTGTTGCTGTTACTACCATTAAAATTTCTCTTGATGGCTATTATGATAGTTTCCTTGAAAGCCACGGGTGCTTTGATAGGCTCCTTCTTTATTTTGAGAGTAATGCTCTCCCCCATTTGGGTTCGAGTTGGATCTGTAAGGTCTGTTATCACCTCCAATTGCTTGATTACTCCCCAAAGGTCGATCTTTTCTAGATTCCATTTGGTAGTCGCTCAAGCATTCGGCGGCTTCCATGGCCGTGCTCAAATCAATAACTTTTTGTCTTTGAAGTTCCATGCGTGTTCATGGTTTCAACCCTTCCATAAAGGTGAAGAGCTTATCCTTTTTCGACATATCTCAAATATTCAGCATATGCCCTAAAAAGGATTTCACATACTCCCTGATAGAGCTTGTGTGTTTCAGGTCTCGAAATGCCCGTCGAACCTGATACTCGACATTTTTCGGGAAAAACTGCGATCTGATTGCTTCTTTGAGGAGTTCCTAAGAATCTATTTGAGCTTTGTTGGCCTGAATGTCAACATATTTTGTTCGCCACCATAGTTTTGCATCTCCACCCAGATACATGGTAGCTGTGGTTACCTTTCTAGCTTCGTCTTCGATCGAACCTGAGAGAAAATACTGTTCCATGTCAAACAAGAAGTTTTTGACTTCTTTTGCATCACGTGCCCCTCCGTAGGTACACGGTTCAGGAATTCTGAATCTAGGAGCATACTCAGGTACGGAAGCTTGCCCATTGCCCACCGCACGTTGGAGTACCCGCAATTGAGCTCTCAACGATTCCATTTCATCTTGCAGATCTGGAATGATTGCAGCAACTTCAGTCATGACTACACAAGCCCTTTGACTTTCATCCAATTGAATGTATAATCCACGAATCTCAGATTCTACCATCTCGACTTTTTTCCTCGAGATTGTCCAAGGCATAGCACAACCTAGTAGTTGTCTCATCAAGCGCATCCATGCGCTGTTTAGTAGTACTCTTCTTTTGAGGCTCTTCCACTTCATTGGTGTGGGATGTAATTTGATCTATAGCTTTCTTATCGAGGGTCGTGAGCCACAGTTTTGATACCAACTTTCACGGGATGCCTTTCTTCTTGGCACAGAAAAGGACACCGTGCGGCAGTAGTCTGCTCCGTTAGACTACCTTCCGCCTTTTCTCGATCGTGTCGGGACGAAAGAAAATTTGATTACCATTTTGTAAAAGCTTACAATAGAGAATTTGAATACATTGAAAGTAAATTGAACATTGATTGATAAAAACTGAACATTACAATTGACGAAAGCAGAAAATTACAATTGCTGGTGTAGGGGGCGGACACCAGTGAGCTTGAAAGATTTTTGAATGACTAATACCTCCTATAATTGCATTCGGAACAAAAATCTAAGTGACAGGAGTAGATGTTTAAAAGACGAGGAATCATACTAAACGTTTACTAATATCAGAACTATTTTACAACTGAAATAACTATTTCAATGAAAAGAAAATTACAACTCAAACTTGAAGTAATATTTACAATGTGCGGTCGAAGTTGGGCAAACTGCAATTATGATAATGTCAAGGGGTTAAGTAAAACTGTAATCCTTGACACAATGCCTAGTTATCATTTAGTAAAATTATAATGTATAACTAGCATTACTAAAAAAATTATTTATTAATTGACAACCGCAAAATTATGAGGAGTCCAAAACAAAACTCCACCGAACACATACAGAAACCCAATAAGCGGCCTATAGCGTACCGCTTCTTTGTCCGAAAAATTACTCAAAACGAATTTATCATTCTTCGTATTTTCTTCAAAATAATATCCAGAAATTCATGAGAAAATCAACTGGATTTCCAAATTGAAGGAAAAAAGTCAAAAATTTTCTTCAGAATGCGTTCATTTAATTCCGCGTCAAAAGCGCTTACGTGCTTGTTTTCGTGTCGGGATTTATTCCGACGACGGATAATAAAGTTTACTGAATACAATCAGATTAGGTGCTTGAGTACAATTGGTGGGTCAAGTGCATTTTCTTCAGCCAATAAATCAGCAGGCGCTGGTTACTGGAATTTTAGTTTATGGGATTCGGGAATTTTATCGAATAATCATAATGTTATTGTCCAGAAAAGGGGATTTTTGGGGTGTGGTGATGGCGAAGAGGGGAATATGTTAGCTAAAGTTTATGAAGAGAGACGTGTCATGGGGTATGCTTCTTTCAATTATGACTTCCCATTTTCGTTTTTATTGTTCTTTAACCAAAGTGTGTTGTGCCCAATTTTGTTTATATACCGTATGTATATGCCTATATTTCTCTCTCTGGAAGTTATGAAATAATATATATAATTGAACATGAGTCTTTGGATAGCTTAAATGAATGGTGAAGCAATTGAGTTTTCTTGTAAATTTCATTTTGTGCGTGATGAAATACATTTCGTTGTGGATGACCTGTTGTCATTTGTTTGCACAGATTTTGAACCTTAACGAGTATATTTTCTTTCAGCAATTGATACATGTTTATAATAGATATACAATGTTTTAAGGGATAAATTCTACATTGAATAAAGATGTAAACATAGATAAACATATAAAGGATTGATTGCTTCTCTTAGTAAAGGTTGACCTTTTGGAAGGAACCAAAGTCTTCATATGGCATAGCCTATAAAGTTCAAACAAGCAATTTGATTCGATTAAGACTCAAATGTGCACCCGAATTTTAAGATTGATCGGCTCAAACGAGCCACATCTTGAGGGTGCATGTTAAGGGATCCCACATTGAATAAAGATATAAACATAGACCAATATATAAGCACTTGGATTACTCTTCTCGATAAGGTTGACATTTTAAGATGGAACCTCATTCTTAATACAATATTGAGTCTTGGAAAAATAAGTTATGATGTCCTGGACTTCTAGATTATCCTCTATTCCTATTTGGGGAGACATTTGTGATATATTGGAAGCAAGGTCTTAAAATGCAATGGTATTAGTAGAGTGTACCCTAGAGAGGGCTGAATTTTTTTCTCCCCGCATTTACTATGAGGGTGATGGTGCAAATTGTAGGAAAGGAAGTGCGATTTTTCCTGCCCGTCTTCATCTTCGCCTTAATTAACTAAAAACAAACAAACATGCTCACACTTCCATACAATTATTTTATCTGATTATTTTCATGTTACTTAATTGTTTAGCAATTTGCCGGATGATAAAGTTGTCAAACATACACAAAAATTTATATGATAAATTTATTGTCAAGCTTGATCAACTTCTATGAACCTCCAATGCCATTTTCCTATCATGTGTTTTATGTTTTTCACTATTTTTCAAATCTTTAAATGTAACTTCTTAAGTTTTTTGATCATCTGCTAGATGAACTGACTATCTTTTGATTGTTAGATACTCCCCAGAGCAACTATTTGCTGTGGTTGCTGCTGTAGACTTATATGAGGATTTCCTTCCTTGGTGTCAGCGATCGGAGATAATTCGACGCAATCCCGATGGATCATTTGATGCAGAGCTAGAAATTGGTTTTAAATTTCTTATAGAGAGTTATGTGTCCCATGTTGAGTTAAAGAAACCAAAATATATAAAGGTAAAAAAACACTTTCACTATAAATGGCTTTTCTTCCTTTATATTTTAGTATTTTTATATCTTGTTCACTTAATTGTTGTCAAGCCATGTTTGCTTTTTATCCTTAACTGATTTATTTTCTTTTATTACTGCTCTTAAAATGTTGAGATCAATGGAATATGATTGATATCTTTTGCCTATTTGCATGACTTCTCTGTTGAGTTCTCGGTTTGAGTTCCCTTTTATTTTTCTACTTCTCTTTTGATGGCGTAGGGGACGTGGGGAGGGTGAGGGGACAAATTTAGAAAATTGGAATGATCTATCCTTGATGTTGGGTGAGAGTTCACATATCCCTTGAAGGAGAAAATTTGGATTCGCAGCCAAATTGATGTACTTGGTAATCATGGATTTATATAGTGTTGGAATCTGTTCATATGGTTACAATTGGTGTTATAATTATTCTTTCTTGATTTCATTCAATTTATTTATTGGTCAGGATGAATAATAAGAATTAGAATGCATAGATGAATTAGATGTATTTACGATAAAAGCTTGGCTTTCTTTTGGGGTTCGTATACATACTAGGAATACTGCTATGATTCGTAAACTCGAGATAATGACTCATTTATGGATTTTATCTCTCTCTCTCTCTCTCTCTCTCTTTGTGTATGAGTGTGGTGCACAGGCTACATTTTGGTGAACCTATGTTCAATGTCTTTCCTACTTCCCTTCAAAATTCTAGACTTCTTACATGGATTGTGAATAAGATGTGGAGTTATTATCGGGTATTTCAGTTCTCCCTCAATTTATTTGCTTGGCAATATAAGACATTAGTATTACAGGATCATCGATATACATGTTAGTAGTTGATCATAATTTGAGAATCTGTGAATGTTATTAATTTGAAAGCTTAATAGTGGTATGTCAAAGTTGTGGCTTGTGGGTTTCACTCAGCAGGAGATATTAGTTCTGAGATTATTTCACATTCTGTTGGTTGGGATATTTGATGTTTTGAAGTTGAAATGCAGCAAAGGAGGAGATGTCAATTAAATGAGGAAAGGTTTCCAATTGGTTCTGTTTCTTTAGTGTTCAATGGCAGATTAATAACTTCTGTTTGTTGTGAGAAGGTTGTTAGAACATTTTTGGATTTCATATATGGTTCACCAATTTTCTCCACTGCCGATTGTGGATCTTGGAAAAGAAAGAGTAAAGAGGGTTCTCTGGACATCTTCTTGATTATGGGAAGCCAAAATTCTGGGACAAATTTTCTTCAACCAACGAGTATGATGCAGGGAAGAGTTACTGTTCACGTGTTACCTGTTGAGAGATCTATATCTCACTGTCTTTTCTGATTAATTTTGTTTTTTAGTGCATTGTAATATTTTATATCTTGGGAACAGTAATAGTAAAAATCGATTGCATAGATGTCCTGCCCTGAGCCGCTAATCTTATTTTCCAACAAATGTAAAATTATTGGTTTTGGCCTTGGCCCTTGATGATAGGTGAATATGTCTTTGGCTCCTAAGTTATTTTCAGAACTTCGTTATGTTTTTTCCCCTAGTTTTCCCTTTGAACAAACCTTTGTTTTGATGTGAAGTGTGAAGTGAAGGCTGCATGGGGTTATAATCCTCCGACTCTCATCTGCTTGACTAGGTTGCATCTGATGCCATAGAAGTGCTGCCTCTGAATCTTATGTGAAATACTAACTTAAATTAGATACACAAAAAAAAAAAAAAAAAAAAAAAAAAAATTGAATAAGGGAAACATGTTTTCTAGATTGATCAGCTCAAGTACACATAATTGCTCAATTAGTCTGCTAAGCTTCCAGTTTTATCATCCAATGAATTCTTGTTTTCATGCGAAGAGCTGTTTATACAATTAACTAACTTCAAATTTTGTTAATCTGTTTTTTCCCTTTCTTGCAGACAACTTCCACCCAAAGCAGTCTTTTTGATCATTTAATTAACATCTGGGAATTTAATGAGGGGCCTGTTCCAGGAACCTGCAACCTTCATTTCTTGGTGGACTTTAAGTTTCAGTCACCATTTTATCGGCAGGTAAGCACCAACATTGTGTTTTTTTTTTTTTTTTTGTTGTAATGCATAGAAGAGTATAATCACAGCAGTACTTTCTTCAAGCGGAAAAACAATGGGTTAGATGTATTTTTGTCTGGTAATTGTTACAGCATTTGATGCCTGGTATCACTGAAAGAAGTCTAGTTTCCTCTTCACAATATTTAGACTCGTGTTAAAAGTATTCTACAATGTGATGATATTCTAATTGGAAATAAAGAAAAATCTTCCTTAATCATTATAGTAGGAATACAGATGAGTTATCAAAATTCTTGCCAAGGCAACATCAGAATGATGGAAAATTTAGGATCTCTCTTGTGCCGTTGGTTGGTGATTCTATCATTGCCCCTTGTTATATGGGGATCGTTCATTCCCTGCCATAATCACCTATATAAAGCTGCATGCAGTTGGGCTTTAGGTCAAACCACATTTTAGCCTACACCAGTTTTATTTCTATCCTCAACGATTAATTTTTTTTCTTTAGACTCTATTAATTTATGGTTTTTCTTAACAGTTTTTAGGCTTTATTGTCTATGCATCTATTTCTTGGAATTTGGCACTTTCATAACATGAATGTCCATCATGTGTTCTAATTGAATGTTAGCCCAAATCAAATCAGATTCAATGCACAAACATTTTTAAGCACATCAGCCTAAACTCACCCTGTCCCATTCTTCTTGTTATGTGTGGTATTGCTATTCTTGTGCAACATGGATAAAATTGTGGATGAGAGAAAGATACTTAGTAGCTATTTTGTGATGAATTATATGTTTACATTATGTCTCTTGAGTAATATACTGCAATACATGTCTTATGCTCAATAAATATGAGCTCAACACAAATTATTTTTCATTATAGAAGTCTTACTTTCAACTAATTTTTAACTCAACTACATTAACCAATATTCTTTTGTTTGTTTGATTTGGAATTACTCTACTGGAAACTTTGATTTCTGTAACATTTGAATTTCACCTTAACCTATATAGGAACTATTTTATTCTTTTCCATTCACCATATGTTCTAAACTGAAAATTAATACCTGGAAAAAGGGACAAGCTTTGCTTGTTAACTAGAACCGACTACGCCGGTAAAAATCATCATACTTTGTGGCTACATCTTAAATTAACTCAGCTCATAAAAATTTATGGTGACAGTTGTCCAGACTTTATATATAACCTTTCCTAGTTCGCTATTGGGGTTTGTCCCTAATTGCGAATATTTTCATATTACATGTGTTGCCCTGACGTTAAGATATTATTTTGCTTCAGATCTACATGGAAATGTGTCCCCGGAATTGAGTTTTATTTATAATGGGTTCATTTGAACATGAGTGCCTAGTACATATGATCTGAGTTGTAGAATAAAAACATATATATTTTTAGCCTATTTCCTTCTACAGCTAAGCATGTAATGGGTTTTTGGCCGACAGATGGCAAATATGTTCTTCAAGGAAGTGGCCTCTCGATTAGTTGGGTCATTCCATGACCGATGTCAATTGATATATGGACCTGGGCTCCCAGTTCTTGAAAACACTTATGAACAAAGATCGTGAAAAGTTACACCGTCTATTCCTTTATGTTGCTATCTTCAAATCCAATGCCAGATGAGTTCATGATTTTTAAGTAAGCTCAAATTTTTCTGAACCAGATTCAACCCCTCACTTTATTCTGTGATGTTTTATTTACGCCACTGATCTCTGTATGTGGCTTCTGCATGTTGAATTTGAAGGCTGAAAGGTGCCTAACTCGACTACTTCCACCCTATAGGCAGAAAAATACAAATTTTCCAGTTTCATGTTTCTTTAGATATGATTGTACTTGAATACAGATCCACTGAGTGGATTAATGTTGCAGCTTTAATATTGTATCTCTTCCTCTAGAGCTAGATGCTACTCAGGGTGGCTCCAAATATACGACTATTGTGATTTTCCCTGATTCTTGGTCATGGCATTTTGTATTGAGCTCTCTGTAACTAATGCTAAATTCACTTCAATGCTGAGATGGTGTTATTGCTAAATGGTTAATAGATGGACTTCACTAGTAGGGCTGGACATGGTCCGGTTCGGTTCGGTTCTAACGAGAATCGAATCGACCCGGAATTTTCGGGTATTTAGTAAGTGGAATCGTAGGGTCCAAATTTAATTATGGAACCGTTCGGATTCGGTTCCATTCGGTTCGGTTCGGTCCGATTCGATTCCGTAGTATAATTAAATTTTTTAATATATACAAAGTTACGTTAATTTAATTAATGATATATTTAATATTAATTTTTACAAAATAACGTAGTTCAATCTTATGTATTTCACGTCTCTCTTTGCTGAATTCTTCATAAATTTGATTATTAAAATCATAGAAAGAGAAAGATAGCGAACTCAAAATAATTAAGATAGATGTTGTAGAGCTATAATTCGATTTTCTCCGATAGAAACGACATTACAGTAGAATAACAGATTTGGATAAAATTGAGGTCAATTTGATTAAGTCGATTTTGAACTGAATATTAGAAATAGAATAATCATATTTTGTGGTTTGAACTAAATTAACTAGTTAACAAATTTAATTAGAAAAAATAAAATAATTTTACTTATTTAAAATAAATTAATTAAAAAAATTAGGGAGATTCGGTTCTTATTCGGTTATTCGGGTCTTGGCCTAGAACTGAGAATCGAACCATACCCGTCGGTTCTTGATTCAATTACCCGTTCGGGTATTTAACTTGAGAAGAACCGTCGAGTTCGGTTCTGTTCGGTTCGAGTTCGGTTCGGGAGTTTTGTCTAGCCCTATTCACTAGGGAAGAAAGTTTTGTTTGTTGGAAGTTCGAATCATCGTGCTTTTTGTGTGGGCGCTATGGATTCAGAATTATATTCAGTTAAGGAATTGTTTACCCATAAAATGATTGTCCCTTTCAAATCAGTAGATTTAATTCCAAAAGCGGGATTTAGGAAATAGAGAATATTACTTTTGACTTCACAGAAATTAAGAGGGAAAGATAAGAAATTTATTATTATTTATTCAGTGGATACGACAGAGGATATGCAGAAAAAATCGATCCACATAACAGTCCAAGATTGATAAAGGGCCATCTTGAATTTCCATTAGGTTTGGTATCGATTTTTCTAGATGTGAAAAATTAGAGCATGCTCAATATACTCAATTTTTAAAGAACATATTTTATCATTTGAAAAGTATATATAAATTTAGAGGGTTAAAATTTTGAGGTACTTTAACATGCTCTTTATATTTAACACTTAATTTTATTACTTTCAAAAAAAATTTATTTTTTATTTTTTTAGAGCATCACAAAAAAATTCTTTAAATACAAATTTTTTTTTTAGAGAGTCAATGCTTAAAAATGAGTTGCAAGAAACTCTCTATTTTAATTTTTTAATATAGAGAGTATGTTTAACTCTCGATTTTCCAAATTTAGAGAGCCAAACTTACTTTTTATTCTTCATGTACAATGATTGCATTTAATACATTACAAATTTCAATACTCTACAATTTAAAATTTTCAAATTACATTTGAATTGATTGGTTATTAATAAATAAAAAAATTATATTTAAATAAAATAAATGGAGAAATTATTAAATGTTCATTGGAAAAAATAAAATAAAAAATTAAAATAGAGAGCTTGTTGGAGTGTATAAAAAAAATTACTCACTAAATTTAAAAATGCTCTCTGTTATGTATAAGATGCTATTTATAAATAGGAAATCTTTTGAAAATACTCTTATGGTTTAAATAGCTTTTTTCTAAATTATTTTATTATTCTCATATATTGAAAATTGAAACATTTTAAATATATTTATTTATGGAGAGTGAATTTAGCTAAAATGTTAATTTAAATAGTTTCTTGAAGTATAATTTTAAGGGTTGACTTTAAAATAGAGAGCACGTTATATTTAAAGAGTTTTTTTGGAAATGCTAAACATGTATGTATTTATAGATTGAATTTCCAAAATATAGTTGAAAGATTATTTATACACAAATTAGGTGATAATATTTTAAATATTAATATTTAATAATTAATCATCAAACCTATCAACATTCTCCCCCTCTCTCTCTCCATTGCAGCAAAAAGACCACCATCATCGGAAGATCACCCCGTTGTAAAGACCACCTCCAAGCGCTGCTCAAGCAGCGTGAGAATGATGCGCATGGCTTGAGAGCTTGAGCACATCATCGCTGCGCTCTTGAACCTTTACTCAATATCCATTAAGTCAGCATGAATCCTCGATTTACCATTAGAATCTTGTTCTTGTTCCTGTTTCGATTGAGTTGTAGCAGTGGCGCTAGAAATTAGGCTACACCCCACAATTGGTTTTTGAGGTTTGTATGTAGTTTTAGGTTGTGGTTTGTGGTTTATGGTTTGATAGTTGGCGAAGTTTGTGGGTTGCGATTTTTGGTGGCGATGCTGGTGAGATTGTAGTTTGTGGTTTGTCTATAGTTTGGTAGCGGTGGTGGTGGTTGTAGAGGTGATGCTGTTTCGATGGTACCATATGTAGTTTGTAGTGGTATAGGTGGTAATGGTGCATAGGTCACGGAGAAATATCCACTTGTTACAAGTCAAATAGAACTAATTATAGATTGCGTTTACATGTTATAGGTCACACTTCACAGGTCATATTGTATAGGTCGTAGATTAATGTCAACATGTAACGGTTCAAAATTAACTGGTCACAGATCATATGTCACATATCTTTGTGCACTGATAACAAGTTGTGTATTTAAGTTCATAGGTTATAGTTCATATGTAGGTCACATGCAATGGTTCACGTCACATGGTATATTGCATGAGTAACAAATCAATGTTTACTTGTCATAGATCAAATAGAACTAGTCATAGATCAAGTATACATGTCACGTCACACTTATAGGTCATATTATATAGGTCACAAATCAATGTCAATAGGTAATATATCATATGTCACATATATTTATGCATTGATAATGGGTTGCAAATTCAAATTCATGGGTCATAGTTCACAAATCACATGTCATATTACATTTGTAACACATCTATTCACAGGTCACAAATACAAGAAGATTGATCACAGAGCATTAATTTCTCCAATCTCAGTTTGTGATCGTTGCCTTCAAAAATTCTAGTATATAGTGTCAACAACTTCGTAACTTCAATCGTCTGACAGGCTTCAATTAACTAGATATCAAATTTATTTGCTTTGACGAGTTATCTGTAGATTCTTTCTTTGTTTAATCTTCTGATAGCTTCCAAATTTGTTACCTTAATAGTTTGATATTTTCAAACAGTCAGATTTCGGCGGTGGTAATGGAGAGGTCACTGTGACTTTTCTATTTTGCTTGGTCTTCACGATTTGTTGTTTTGGTGAGTCACGTTTAGAACAGTAATTGAAAGCAGTATTTTAGGAATTTATTTTATATATAATATTTATTCATTACCACCTGAGTTTTGAACATTTAAAATTTGTTTCTTAAAAACGAAATTGGGTATGGTAAAGGCTTTACTTATGTATTGTTTCCTTTCTAAATTCATTTTTTATCAAAATTATTTTCAAGGACACATTATATCGGTTCACATATTCATTTTAACCATATATTTTCCCAAAAAAAATAAAAAATAAAAAATTCACTTGAAAAATATTATGCCAAACAACCTATAAACAGCAAAATTATGAACTTGTCACCCATTTATGAATTATTGTAATTTGTTAAACTTTTGATATGTATATATGATCTAAATATTAGGAGGCACGTTGGATGTTAAATTTAAATGAATGATATTTCATCAATAGAAATATCTTTTACTTTCTATAGTAGAAATAAATAAAAATATTCTATGGTATACACAAGAAGTAGACATTAAAAATTCTAAATAATAAGAAGAAAAGAAAGAGTCATCCAAATTGTTGACAATATTATGGATGATGAAGATTCACAATATCTTCATTCCTCTGATGAAATCTTGAAAGTTACCACTCTTCATGAACTCTCTATTTTATTTTTCTGTCCTCTGAAATGTACCAACTTTTTTCCATTGTGTTTGGTCTTGTGAGCCCACCACAAGATGGCAAGCGCAGGCGTAGATAGCTTTACTTCTACTTAGCATCGGCAGTGCAATCTTCGTAGGATCAAAAGAAATCTTTAAAGTTGATATGCACTACATCAACCCGAAGAACCTGAACCGAACGAGGAGGAAGCTGAAGACACCAGGAAGAAAATCCATGCATCTAACCGTTAATATATGTGATGATTGAGTGTTCACAATATTCAATGTGGCAATGAATTAATGTTGAAGATTCTTACACGTTTACTCTAGTCAGATTTCACTTCGTGACAACCTAATCATTGTTTCTCAATTATTCATTCATTCTCGTTGTATAGTGAAAATGAATGATGACACCTGCCCTCTTATGATCCAAACACTCTAAAATGTGTTGAAAGGTACAATGTTTCTCCAAATTAGAAAACGAAGATGCAGCCACTCGTGGATTCTTACTAATATTGGATAGAATCAAGCATAGAAATTGAAGATGATGCGGCGTTTCGTTAATTCTTATTACAATGACGCTACTTGTACTCATATAATGTACATTTTGTTTGACAGACGATGAGTTAACATTCAATTTGGTCAATGATTCGAATCGATAATCAAATTGCATTCCACCTCATCATCTGTCAATAAAAGTGTAATTTTTTTTTTTTATCCAAATAAGCAATGGGTGTAATTTTTTAAAATTCTTAAAAGGATTATAAAACTTCTAAAAATATGTGTCTATTAAATTCTTAATCATTCGAATTTAGAAAAGAAATCTCAAAAAACTATCAGCGACAAAATCAAAATATTCAACCGTAATATGTATTTTCAATGCTTATGTTTGGTGGAAAATAAAATCAATGTATTAATCCAAGTCAAAATCAACAATTAATTTAACATGATTGCTACATAAACACAATGGTTGACATGATACTTGATATAATGTTACATGACAACTTATCATTGGACTCTTTAAAATACGGTCAGTTTTTTCAACCAA